ATCCAAATTCAAAATCCTGCTCCTCACATACAAGGTCTTAAATAATCAGGCCCCATCTTATCTTAATGACCTTGTAGTACCATATCACCCTATTAGAGCACTTCGCTCTCGCTCTGCAGGCTGACAGTATGTTAGGGATGCATGAATATCTCGACTGGAACAAAAAGGATCCAACATCCAAATTCTGAATGTCCTTCAAGATGCATGTAAACTGTTCCTCCAGACTACTTAAATAGACTCCACGAGAGTTCAGGCTGAGAACAAAGCTGGTTTTTACTGCAGCCGTGCAAATTAGAGTGAATCAGACCACAGTGACTCTGTGGATGTGGGTGGATGTGGGTGGATGTGTATCTCAGCTGTTCAGGTGGAGTTATATCGGGGCTGGGACGATGTCTTTGGAAACGTGCAACAGGACTGAGCGCATAAGTGACAAAGCAAAATAGACGTGTGCATATTTTTAAGTGACACTTTATAATACATTTGATATGTCACAGTGTTACTAATGTACTGAGTAAGAATCACCTTCACTGAACAGGTGCACATAAGGAACTGGGCTCAGGGTAGATAACAAACGCTCACTGTTTTGGCATGTTTGTAGTTGGGATACTTCTAAAGAGGAGAGTTCAAACTCTGATCTAAACATCAGACCAACCTCTGTGAGTCATCTTATCGATGGCATTCAGCAGCAAGGACAGGCAGGAGCGTGGGACTGAGGTTAAAGTTCAACCATCTGAGACACACCCAGCCTCTCCTGTTTAAAATACCCAGGGCTGCAGCAGAGCTCATCCAGATGCTTACACGTCTGGATTGTTAATCACAGAGAAAATCAAGATATTCATTCATTAATGTGCTGAATGAAAAATGAACATGATTCTGTCTGAATGTGTCTGCAGATGTGCAGCAGATGTGTGTGTGACAGAAACGTGTCACCAACACTGTCATGGTTACAGAGCCATGATTCATGTGATTAATTATGCTTAGTCAGAATACAGTGAGGCGAGAGTTTAACCAGCACAGTCTGTACTGCCAGGCTGTGTGTGGATGGTGGAGTGAGCAGCACCAAGGAGCCACCATTTAATAATAGAGATGGGACTGTCTATACAAGGCCAGCACACCACTGTCAGTGTGCTGTAGTGTAGAGGGAGCGCTCTGGTTTGAGTCAAGCAGGCCATTTACACCTCTGAATGGAGGCGGGGCCTCTGTTACAGGAATGGTGCCACAATAACAGAGAAGAAATCCTCCAATCACAGCTCTACAATGCTGTGATTGGAGGGATTCCCCACCTCTCTGTGGACTCATGCAAGGATCAGCGGCTGTGACAGTTTGCGTACTAATGATCATAAGCTGCCTGTTGTTCATCAGTGCTGCTGGTTCAGCTCCCTGTTGAGAAGGTTGGAAACCTGCAGTCAGACTGTCCAGGTGAACAGAGTCAACCTTCTCAGAGAAAGACCGCGTGTTACAATGTTTCCATGTCTGCTGCTGCCATGGAGACAGGCTTCAGACTGCAGCAGGTTCTGTGCTAACAAATGCAGAGGTGGGTTACCCGCTCGGCCCAGCACGGGTGACCACATGTTGCTGCGATATGTCCTGCAGAAGTAACTGTATCTCCTGAGGACTTGCAGTCTGCAGGCTGGCTAAATATAACTTGTTTGTGCTCCTGGGCTCACAGTAATTAGCTCCACAGTTTAAAACGGCCACGGTACTGTGTGACACGCTGAAATTTCACCCGACCTGTGGACAGAAACAGCGTTGTGTGGAAGGGCAGATTTGGAGACATCAGTTATTTCAACACGTTTATAACATTCGACTGTCCCAACGCTGCTTTAAAATGATAACTCAGCTTTCTGAAGAAACGAACAACACAACCTGTGTTATTTACTTTACTTTTACCATAAAGCCTGGATGAATAGCACATAGAGCGTTGAACCAATGATCAGTAATGCTGGGAAGGTGCCAAATAAAGGCAGGTTTGTCTGTAGAGGATTTAGAGGTAGTTCTCATGCTTGTGTCTCCTCTGAGCTGCAGGATCGGCTCTCTTTGTTCCAGCTCTTTGTTTCATTTTCTTCCACAGGTAGAACAAACGTAGGCACAGGAACAGTTTGTCATACAAAGTAACTCAGCTCCCTCTGTTCCTGGTGTTTTGTTAGTTTTTCAAAGCAGACTTCCTGAATAGAATAGAATAGAATAGAATAGAATAGAATAGAATAGAATAGAATAGAATAGACCTTTATTATCCCATGGATGAGAGGTTTGGGTGTTACACAGCTCTTGAAGCAAAGGGAATATAAAATATAAAAGGAAGCCTCAGAGTGGTCCTATAGACATAAGTAACTGCAGTCTGTACAAACAGGTAACGATGCACAGAAACATGAAATGTGCAGTGAACAAAGCAGCTGCTGAGTAAGATAACTGTGTGTGACAGAGTCTGACAGCTGCTGTAAGAACGACCTGTGGCAGCACTGCTTCCTGCACTGTGGGTGTGAAAGTCCACTGCTGCTCGAGCAGCTCGGTGTTCAGTCTCATGCAGGGAGGTGTTGTCCATGATGGATGTTAGCTTAGACAACAGCCTCTCCTCCTCGATGGACTTCAGCGGGCGGTCCAGGACAGAGCTGGCCCTCCTGACCAGTTTGTTGAGGTCCCCCCGTCCCTCTCTGCCGCTCCAGCAGACCACAGCACAGAAACAGCAGACGCCACCACAGTGTCCTGTTCACCCCCAAGGATCTCTGCAGGTGGAGACGATGTAGGCCCTTTTTGTAAAGTGCATTTGTGTTTGTGGACCAGTCCAGTTTGTTATTGAAGTGAACACCCAGGTATTTGTGCTCCTCCACCGTTTCAGTGTCCAAAGCCTGGATGTTCACAGGTGTAACAGGGGCGGCTTGCTGCTGAATAGCAGGGCGACCCTGATCTAGGGCTGTATTAATCCCATGAGAAGAATGTAGCGCCCCCTCTCTGTGGCTGATTTCCAGTGAGACTTGAAAACGTCCTCAGTTAGAAACTGCCACACGCTCCTTGTAATGACTGCACGATGAGTAAAACCTGTTTCTGATGTTTTGTGCTGCTTGGCTGCGTCTCTGCCAGAACATTATGTCGAGCTTCTCCGTTTTCATGTTTGCAATAATTCTTAGTGGTGCTGTGCTAATGTCCCGACACACCGAGCAGGGTGCACAACTATTAGACCTGAGACGCTGCAGCAGGCTCAGAGGTCGCAGGCACTTAGGATGATGTTTATTCTGTGCGTTGTCCATTTAGACTTCAGCAAACTCAGGTTAAAACCTGTCACCTATGAACGTGGTGGCACTGTGTGAAGGCAGGACAGTGGCTCTTTTTCCTTTAAGCAGCAGAGCTCTGCTGCTCCTCGGTGTTCCACACAGCGGAGCCGCCCCACCACTCCAGCCCAGAGAGCTTCTGCAGCTTTTAGATGCATACTTGTTTTTCAGGTGTGTTGGAGTAGGGATGCATCTAAAAGCTGCAGGACAGTAGCTCTCTGGACTGGAGCTGGAGACCCCTGCTTCTGATCAATCAGGATCCCCCGTTTGTTTAAATGCTGCACTGGCTCCATTGCGTTGCTGCACATCACCAGTCTGCTGTCAGAAAAACACACGTAGGAGCAGGAGGTGGTGTTTGCAACTGAACTCCCCTTATGTTGCCTGAGTTTCTGTCGGGCATTTCCTTGTTAATAAAGTTATCAGTGTATTACTGATGTTGTTTCCTTCTGAGCCCCCTGTGCTGCATGTACAGATGTTGTGGCCACAGAGGGCTCATCCCAGCAGCTTTTGTCACTGTAAGGACTGCTCAGTGGTATTTGGTATGTTTTTTAAACAGATATTGGATCTGTGCATGTGGCATTATGTGGTGAAACCGGCTGCAAGACAGAGTTAGACTAACTGTGATACTTAAAGGTTACATGTTAGTGCAGGTTAAACAGCTTAGTTTGCTGTACTGTGAAAACTAAAGAACTCGCTGTTCTTTAAAGGTGCACAGTGGCCGTGGGTTCATGGCCACAGTTAGCATCACATGTAGCAGAGTCATATGAATTTTAGCTGATGAGCTTAGATCCACTGATGAGCTGTGGAGGATGAAACATCTGCTCACATCTGGTTGAATCCAGGTGTGTCCATCCACAGAGAGCAGCAGGCCAGCTGATCACAGCCTGCACACAACACCTACTGGAGCTCTCAGGAGAAATGAGTGTGAGTTTGATTCAGTTCACTGAGCCGTGACACCAGTTTCAGGTTCCCCACCTGCTGAACCCACTTCAACCTCTGACTTCCTGTTTACAGGCAAAGTCCCCTCTACAACGGAGGCAACAGCAGATAGATTTGCTTTTCCTTTTTCTTCAGACTAAAGTTTGTGTTCCCCTCTACTGATATTATTCTATCATTATGTTCACATAGCACAGGGTTCAGTCAGCCTAGGACAAAATAGAAGCGTCCTCCTTTACTTCCTTACTCTGAGCACATTTAGAGCCTTTACTTTTCTCTCTCGAGTAAATAAGTTGAATGAGTACTGTGACTTTTACTGGAGTATTTTTAACATCAGTATTTGTACTTGTACTTTGAGTACAGCATGTCTGTACTTTTGCCACCGCTGCTTAGTCTCATAGGTTGCAGTCTAAGGGCTGAGCCTGCTCATTAAGCCTTTTTAATCACTTTTGGTTAAAACACCGGATGAGCTGCCGTCCACTCTCCGTCAGCTTTGGCTGAGTTAGTAACAACTTGTTCACTAAACCACGCGTTAACCAGGCTGGTTAGTACGAGGAGACTGTCACGATGACAGGTCACCGAAGCTGGTTTAGCAGCTGATGCTCCAGCTGATGCTCCAGCTGATGCTCCAGCTGATGCTCCAGCTGATGCTAGCTGCTCGGTGAATGCGCTCCGGAGAAAAGCTAAAGTGAGCTGGACAGTCCGAACAATGGAGGCAGCTTCACGGGCGTTTCTGTCAGTGTGAAACCAGTGGAGCTGTCTGTGCAGTAACCAGCCTCAGCCGCAGGTTGGCAGTAACGTCACCGGTGGATGCAAACAGAGAGATCCGTGACAGCGCTGTCCGAGAACAGATGCAGTTACGTGTAAGTTTTTGTCCCGCCTTTGTAGACAGAACATCTGAAGAGCTGATGCTTCTGTTCAGCTACATTCTAGTGTTTTGTTGGTCTGGTTAGCTGATCGCACTGATCGGTGTGGTACACCTGTACACTTTATTGGTGCAGGTTGAACCCAGGTGGTGTTTAAACATAAAACGGAAGCTTCAGGAGGTAAAAGCCACAGTTTGTTCCACGCTGTCCTCCACGGTAGCCACAGCTTCCACTGTGGATGATGTCTGGCTTCATGTGCTGTGTAGTTCCGTGACTCACCGCTTGTGTATGCGTGCGCCTGTCTCTACATGCTCGTGTCTGCCTGTGTCAGTGCTGCCCGGGAGTCCACAGCTTTCTGTGTTACTGTGGGGAAGTCGTGGGTGCTGCAGCTGGCGTGAGGAAGCTACACGGATTGGCCGCTGTGTGTTCTTTCTGCTTTCTCTCGTGAAGGGAGGAGGAGTGTCCGGTTAGGGGAACATGATCTTCCTCACACGCTGAACTCGGAGGAGTCCAAACTGGACGGAGACGAGACTTCAGGAGGACAATGTAAGTGAATACGGAGGAAGTGAGGAGTCTCTCTGGGATCTGCTGCTACTTACACTCACTCATTCAGACGCATCCACACGTCTAGTGATGGATGCAAGTCTGGTCTGTAAGTAAAAGTGATCTGATTACAGATGTACACCTTTTAGGTAACAGACTGTTAGATTTGAACATGTACAATGATACAAATACAGGCCAGAGTCCGCAGTAGAGCTGTAGAGGTTGAACAACAGCAGAATAACTAAAGATCTCAGTCAGCACCGAAGGACAGCTTAGTGAGGGAGCCTCGTGCAGGGGGAAATACTTCCACAGTGTTGGAGCCACGACTGTGGAAGCTGCTGCATCGCTGAGCTTGTGTTGCATGTGTGGAGCAGGGAAGCATCAGCTGACCTGAGAGGTCAGAGCAGCTCACACAGATAGCAAGCACTGATGGCTGGATTCATGCCACTGTGCCTCAGCACAACGTTTAGCAAGTGAGCTGCTGTCACCTCTATCATCATCATCGTTGTGTAAACCACAGTAACGAATCTGTGTCCTTATTCCTGTTCTGCAGGTTCAGCTTCAGACTCGCCTACAGTTTCTCATACAACCTGTTCCAGTTCTGTGGCCACACGTGGATACTGGCTAATACTGTCGCCAGGTTTCTCATGTTCGGCCAAGGTAAGGTTAGGAAAACTTACCAGTCTCAGTTAATCTGAATTAGTCTGACTTTTCCAGGAAGTGAACGGTCTGTGGAGCAGCTGTGCAGGTCAAAGTAAATAATAAAGGCGCTAAGATGGCAGTGCTACCCTGAGCGATGGACCGATGCTGTACGGACGCTTGGACCGATATAGAAAAACACCCAGCTTAGACTCCAGGCTCGGTTTGATCAGGCCGTCGTTTAAATCTCATTAAGCCTCATCGAGCTAATTTATGTATTTAAGAAAAGGTATTCAGACATTATCTGCTTCCCCCAAATCCTCCTGTGAAAACTTGAGTTGCAGAGCTGCATCAGAGGAGTTCATGGAGCAGCAGCCTCCTGCTAGTCTGGCTGTTAGCGCTCTCACATCATGTTAGACTGTGTTTTCTCCTGACGTTAAACGCTTTCTCTCAGAGCTCTTTGACGTGGTATCATTTCTTTGCCTTCGTTCGCTTGTTGCGTGAGGTTGCTGTGGGACACAAACAGGGACCGCGCTGCTCGTTTCTCTGTAAAGGCTCATTTGCTGTTGCTGAGTGAAGTTTCCAGTAAACACAGACATCGCTCCAAATGCTTCATAAGTTGACTAAGAAGTATATTTCCAAGTTAGGACTGATGAGCATCCCGCACATGTTGTTTGTGACTGCAGATGCTTTGGCCGACACCTTTTACTCTGTGGGCTTTGTGATGAGTCTCTGCCAGCTGCTCTCCATTCTGGAGCTTTTCCACATTGCGGACGGCATCGAGAAAGCCCGACTCCTTCCTCGCTTCATCCAAGTGCGTACGCAGCTCAAAGTTTAATGACATTTTTATCATTGTTGTTATCTTTGATTGATGCACGGACACGCTGTCTTCCTGCTCCTCAGGTGATGGAGAAGAACCTTCTGTTGATTATGATCATCATGCTGGAGGAGCTGCAGAGTAAACCGGTGGTGTGTGTGCAGCTCTTCTTCTGGAACGTCCTGGACCTCCTCCGGTAAGCACCGCAGGTTTTACAGTGATGCACAAACACATCGGCATTCAAACTTCAACTTTACTTTGTTAAATCATTTTAAAAGCACAGGATGCAGAGCTTTAAGAAGCTTTTAGCTCCTTACAGTTGAACAGCACTGCCTGATCCTGACCTCTCAGCACTGATGCAATTATTTTACTGATGTGTCAAACTATGTGCATATTTTAAACCACGGCGGTCTCACTTTCCCTCTAAGCAGATACCCAGGGCAGGAACCCCCCCCTAAACAGCCAGTTTACATTCCAGTGTGAGATCCACTGATATCAGGTCGCAGTGGAAATATCTTTGGTTATTTCTGTGAAAAAGAAACCAAAGAAAAAGAAAACATGTTGATACAAAACCAAGCATGTCTGACTGGAGCTTTAATGAGTGTTGGTGGAGCAGCTTATTATTTACACCAGTGGTCCCCAACCTTTTGCACCACAGTCCGGCCTTTAAGGTGTTGCAGATAAACACAACAAAATGAAACCAGTACCGAAGATTTATTCATAACACAGGAAGAAAACAGAGTAACAATAAAAACCACAGCGGAGCCTGAAACGACTCAGGCACCGGCCCGTGACCCGGCGTTGGTGTTCTGATTCATGGTGATCTCCATAACACCGGGCCCAGGCCTGAGGAGGGAGCGTATTTACACACACATAATACTAATACGAACAATGATGATCTGTGCATCAGCAGAAGGTTAACGTGCTCACACACTCACATCTAAATATTTGAAGTGCAAACATCCACATTTGTTCCAATGCTGTGGACAGACTGACTGTTCTGAAGGCACAATTTCAACAATGTCTCTAATAATAATAATGATAATGATAATAATAATAATAATAATGATAATAATGATAATAATAATAATAATGATAATAATGATAATGATAATAATGATAATAATAATAATAATAATAATAATAATAATGATAATAATAATAATAATAATAATGATAATAATGATAATAATGATAATAATAATAATGATAATAATAATAATGATAATGATAATAATAATGATAATGATAATAATAATGATAATGATAATAATAATGATAATAATAATGATAATAATGATAATGATAATAATAATGATAATAATAGTAATGATAATAATAATAATAATGATAATGATAATAATAATAATAATAATAATAATAATAATAATGATAATGATAATAATAATAATGATAATGATAATAATAATAATAATAATGATAATAATAATGATAATAATGATAATAATAATGATAATGATAATAATAATAATAATGATAATGATAATAATAATAATAATAATGATAATAATGATAATAATGATAATAGTAATGATAATGATAATAATAATAATGATAATAATAATAATAATATAATAATGATAATAATAATAATAATAATAATAATGATAATAATAATAATAATAATATAATGATAATAATAATAATAATAATATGATAATAGTAATAATAATAATAATAATAATGATAATAATGATGATAATAATGATAATATCCTTAATGCCGTATTCGTACTACACCATATGTAGCTGCATTATGATATACGACGTGATGATTTGAGTACATTTGGATTTCCAGATGCAAACATTGTTTCTCGTCCAATAAGCTGTGCCTGTGGTTTGATGACAGGTATCCTCACGAGCTGCTGTGTGTCATGGATACGCCGTCCAGCACCATGCTGTGGACTCGCTACACGCTCTGGATCCCCTTATACATCCTCACAGTCATCGTTGAAGGTGTTGAATCATTACGTTTCCATCTTTTATTCCAACAAACTGAGAGCTGAGCTCATAAGTACTTTGACTTCTCAACATTAAGAGGTTCATTGTGTGGTCAGAGTGTTGTGTAAGGGAAGTGCTGGGAGCAAACAGGAAATGTGTTAGCCAAGCAGAGCTGATGATATGAAGCCAGGAAATGAGCACAGTGCATTCCAGCTGCAGTGAGTAACCGTTGTGTTGCCTGTAAGCAGAAGTGCTGGAACGTCCTGTATATCAGTGACACACAGGCCAACAACACTGTGATAGTGGATGAAGTCAAAGCGTTTGTTCCCCTTTTTGTTTCTCTCAGCTGCCACCATCTATCAGGCGCTGCCTTATGCTGAGCAAACGGCCTCCCAGTCGTGTCCACTCAACTCAACGACAGCTCCAAACAGCCACCTCCCCCTGGTGCTGGCGCTCTACCTGCCCGCCCTCACTCTTGGTAAGACGGAGAACAACCCTTTGTGACATCACAGTCACCTGACCTGCTGAAACGCAGCACGGCTGCACTGATCCACGATAGTTTGAGTCCAAGCTCCTCCTTTACACTTATGGTCACTGCAGTCGTCCTCTGTCAGCCACTACTTTGATTAGCTGTGGTTGTTTCAGCTTCTTTCCCCCCGCGTGCAGCCACGTTAAAGCTTTTCTCGATAAATCAGACTCACTCTTGGTGGGCATTGATCTGACTCTGTCCATATTTACACACACCTTCCCCGTGCAGCTCTGGGCCTTTTTACTTTGCGGTCAGTTTGACTCTGACTAGTTGCTTCATGCAAATACAGAACAAATGATGCTTAAAGTGACTGAAAGCTCTGATGCCAGTAAAGTTTGAGTAATCATGTGGATTAAACGTAATAAAAGCTGTAAAACAGATTAAACTATACATTTCATACTTGCAGCATCGGCATTGCAACGTTGCAGAGACAGTTTTACTTTTTTCTTTAGATACTGCATAATCGTTACATAACTAAGACATATGTTACCGTTACTAGTTTTTTAACATGAGGTCACTGTTGTGGTCCTCAGTCGCTCGTCCTTGTATGTTAAACATGCTGGTTGGACGAGGGTTAATGAGGCGGTTAGTCGTGCCGTTGTCAGGCTGATAGAGAGACACAGAGGTCGGTCGCTTCAGTAACACGACCTAAATCCACCTGAACTAGAACACTGAAGGACAAGAAAACGTTCTCAGGTTCTCCTGATTTGTTACTGTTGGAAAAACTACGTGTGACAGTTTCCTGAGGAAGACTAGGACGATGAAGAACAGTTACAGGCCTCACTGTCACATCATCATAGTGTCCGAGCTTTCTGACCAGGTCTGTGGTGACAACACTGAGGAGGATCTTCTATCTGGGGATGTTAAACTGGTGTCATGAATGAAGTTACTGTGTAACTGTAGTGTAACTGTACAGTAACTGTGATGTAAAGCACTGTTTGGTTTTTGGCAATGTTTTCAGGAGCCTCGCTCACAGTCGGGCAGCTGCTGAAGGAGAGGCACCACCACCTGGAGAAGTGGAACAGGAAGAGGAAGTAACATGAAGTCACAGCTCGCTGGAGTTACGGATGAAGTCGAATTTAACGATCTGCTGTAAAGAGAGAAAAGGATGTTCTAAACCCAAAATGATTTGTTGCACTTTTATTGACAGCACAGATTCCTACAGTACAGTTACTGTCTAACATTAAACATGCCCACAGCTCAGACCAGCAGCCGTGCGTCTCTTTGTGTACGAGCAGCAACGCCTGAGCAGGACACCGAGGCTCCTCTGGGCTACCAGCCGTACGCTCTGGTCCACACGGCTTTCTTCTTGAACTCTGCAGAGGACTTGAGCGCCAACAGAGCAGCTGGAAGGAAGCACAGGAGAGATCAGAGGGATCAGAGAGATCAGAGGAATCAGAGGGATCAGATGGCTGTTCTGAAGGCCAGATCATTTGTTTCACCATGATGTTTGAGTAAACCTCTCTTAAAGTCAGTGTTGGTCAAGTTACTTGAAAAAAGTAATCAGTAACTAATTACTTCCCCAAAAAGTAATCCTGTTACTTTACTGATTACTTATTTTCAAAGGTAATTAGTTACTTAGTTACATTTTAAAAACACGATTTACAACCTGAAGAGGTGATAAAGCGATAGATCTTTCAATTCTACTTTTTCTGCATAATCCATCATACAAAATGTAATCAAATGGAAAAGTCTCTCTTTTTAAAACTTGTTTTATTAGTTTTAATCTTTTAACTTTATGCATCAAGCAAAAATTTAATTATATGCAACATTCTCTGACTGGAAGAAACATTTAAACCTATTTTCTGCACGTTCCAGCACATAAAATAAAATATTTTGTGTGTTTACACTCACTCTTTCAAATAGATGCAAGTAAAACACAGCAGAAAATAAATAAAGTCACAGACTCAGCGGTCCTGTTGCTCTATTTTCATCTGTAAAGCAGGACTGGGGCAGGCGGAGGTTTACCCTGGTGCAGGTGAGCTGCAGCGGTCAGTGGAAGAAGTGACTTTCGCATCACGTAGTGTAACACGGTCATAAATCACATCTTGTTATAACCCCCAAACCGTTCCTGTTATACCTGACTGTTAGGACCTCCAAGCCTGTAGTTGTGTTCATTATCAGTTAGAGCCCCCCCTCATTGTTCTTCTTCTTTGGTGCAACCCTATAAATACAGTGCATCCCTCTGGCCCCTCCCCTTTTCTACAATCCCCCTGTGGGAGCGCTGGGTGTCATTTCTTTCCAACACTGTAAAACACACATATAATGCATATTTAGCCACCCTGATGTTCCTGATTGCAATTTTAGTTCGGTTATTGTCATCATTATGCCTGTTTTTGTTAGATGCTATAAATGTGTAGTATGTGTGTGCCACAGATGTGTTCTAGGGAACGTGAACGCATGAATATATACTCCTTGCTAGCTTGGAAGTTGTGGTGGGTTGAGCTAACCCTCTTCCTGTTACTGTTTGTATTTGGTCGTAGGAGCTGGAGCGGGCAAGCTATTTACTTGGAGGTCTTTCTTTTACCTTACAGTAGCTGCTCAGTGCTTACTCTAAGGTTTAGGGTTTTTTTCGCTGTAAAAAGAAGTTTTCCTCCCACACACAACGGACGCTAATGTTTGTCCCTTTTTATGGAATCAAACTCAAAGTAAGGTCAGTGCTTCCACGCTTTAAACGCTGCACGCTCGTACTGATCCACTGTTGATCTGCACACAGCTGTTGTCACGAACGTCGCACTCGCTTACGTCACTGTCGTGAGACGTTCTCGCAACAAAATCACGGTTTTAGTAACGCAGTAACGCAGCGTTCCTACGGGAAAGTAACAGTAATCTAATTACCGTTTTTGCAATAGTAATCCCTTACTTTACTCGTTACTGGAAAAAGTAATCTGATTACAGTAACGCCTGCTCTTTCCACACCTTGTTTTCTGACAGTGCTGTCAGCTGTGTGTCAATAAACATGGTGCCTTAGTTCTCATGTAAAGACGGCCACAGATGAGGCCTGTTAGCAGAAGCTCGTTTGGCCAAAAACAATTACTGCTAACAAACATCACTGCAGCTGTGTATATAGAGCCGAATCACAACAGTCCCCCTCTATGGTAACGTGATATTGTGAGATAACCTGCAGCAGTGCAGAGAAACCCTAACAGTCCAACGACCCTGTCTGAGGACGTGGTGAGGGAGGAGCTCCGACATAACCAGGTTCATGGAGGCTATGATTGGTTGGACTGCTCTGTCTCTGTGATCACTGACGGAAATATTTCAGCAGAAACTACAAACTCCATGTGTCTGAGCTGAAATTCAGGCTTCTAACCTGAACGCACACATTTGCATCCACAGCAGTGCGATGTAAGCACAGAAAGCTGTGCGTGGATGAGTAAACCGCTCAGAGAAGAACAGTGCTGCATAAGAACCAGTGCATGAAACACACGACGCATTTCACAAGGAGACCCGAACATACAGGCTTTACCACGAAGCTTTAGCTTCTGGGGCAAAACCAGAAAAAAGAAACAACAACCCCGCCCTTTGTCATTCCACAGCAGAGACGCTGTCGTTCCCAGTTGCTTCCACTCTGTCACCTCAGCTGGAGTTTGTGTTCAGGTGCCATCCTATCAGCAGCACGTGCTGTAGACGCTACCAAACACCCGGCTGCTCGGGCTTTTACACCTGTGGCCACAGAAGTGACTGAACACCTGCACTCGGTGGTTTGGAGAGGTGAGTACTGTTGGCTTTACAGTGAAGTTTTTACCTGGAGGATGTAAGAACCTGACAAAACTCAGGCCAGGTCTTAATTTCAATGAGACCTGCACAAGGACAGTAATAATAATAATAATCTAATTAAACTGTTCATTTAGGTGTGATTTAAATCCAGCTCAGCTGTGTTCAAACAGGATTTCACTGTTTTGATTTCATTAAGCACTTTGTGGAGACAGCAGTCTGTGGGTAGTGCTGCCATGCGGCTCAAACAGAGTGTGTAAGTAGGAAAAAGGCTGCTTTGTTCACCTTTGGCTGTGCTGACCGTTGATGCTGACACGCTCTGCTCAGGAGCTTCCATGATGCTGAGCAGCCAGTCTATGAACTGAGACACACACGGGGTCATCCCTTCTGCACGTTTACAACGAGTGAAAGTTGAGCTAAAGTTCAAAGTTCACAGCGCAAACACTGACCTTGGGTGTTTGGCTGCTCCAGGGCTCCTTGTCCAGGAGCCGAGGGAGGCTGTGGGACATCGCTAACAGGCACTGGGACAGGGCGCCGTCCACCGACGACTCCTCGCCATATAGACCGTGTGTTAGAGCCTGAGGCTTGGGGGCTGGCTGCCATGGAAACCACTGGACCCGGATGCCAAAGAGGAGTGGCATGATGTGGTCACCCCAGGAAACTACTGCAGCAGCAAAGAGCTGGAACAGGAAGTCGGTGGCCTATAGAGCAGACTCAGTTAGAAACACGACACAGAATCTGCTTCCACCAACTCAAATACACAGAAGAAGAAAACAGCAGCAAGCTTTCCTCTGCTGCTGATGCTCGAGAGCAGCCTCGCTGCCATCACTGTAGTAAACATGGCACCGTCATGGTGGAACAGCATTTAGCTAAGCTCAGCTGCTGGGAGGAAGAGGAGGATGTGTGGGAGTCACTGTGGGTCACTCAGAAACATACCGATCTGGTGTCTCCACACTGGACGTCTGTTACGCCGTAGGCAACATTTCGGATATGTCCCATCAGCTGCAGGAGCCACTCCATCCGTCTGGAGATGCCTGTGACAAAGAGCGAGCTCAGCATGCTGACTAAATGACAACCACCATGATAAAACACACAGGTGTCAGTCGTCTGTTAGATCAGAAGAGATCCACTTTCCACGCAGTAGGAACGCCTTCCTGTCTCACCTGTGTTGATGCTGGTTGCCAGGCGACACTGGTAAAACGTCTGCAGGAGGAGCCACCCCACTCTGCGGCTTGGCCAACCACGGAGGACCCCAGCAATGACATCATTAAGACTAAGGAGGGGCACTCGTCCCTGAGAGGTCAGGTAGGCTAAGATGAAGCAGGTCTTCTCCATCTGAGTCTAAACAGAGCGCAGAGATGTTAAAGCCACAGCACACGCCCCTCCCTGAGCCTGGTTCTGCAGGAGGTTTCTTCCTGTTAAAAGGGAGTTTTTCCTTCCCACTGTCACCAAAGTGCTGCTCATAGGGGGTCATATGATTGTTGGCTTTTCTCTGTGTTATTACTGTAGGGTCGAGCTTACAGTATAAAGCACCTTGAGCCGACTGCTGCTGAAGTGAACAAAGTAACCATGTGAGGAAGACTCCTCTAAACTACTGAAAGCTTAAATACTATATGGTTACATTTGGTCAAACTGAACGTTTACTCCTTTTAGAAATGCACGCTTTCAGAGTGGGCCCCCTGCTGGGCATTAGGAAGAATGCAGGTTTTACTGTCCACACACTGACAGCTATAAATAATAAAGCAATATGAGCTACAGGTGACTGGAATTAATTCCATTTCTCCTTCCACTACGAGACCAGCAACATGTGTTTTACCCTGTAAACCAAATGTACTTCTGCCCACATGGAAACAGTGGACGTGGTCCCTCTGTTCATTTTCTGCTGGGGTTATTAAGACTGTACCTCAGAGACTTTCATGATCCTCTCAATCTCTGTGTCAGACATCTCAGACAGACACTTGGCCACGCCCACATACAGATCCACTTCATTATCCTGAAACAAATGTACAAGAAATCAAACACAAACATAAAAATTGTTATTTTTTAGTTAAAATGTCTCATTTAAACAGCTTTGAACCTGTGTTCATGTGTTAAAGAGGCAAAGCTGGATGCCAGCAGGGCCCAGCAGCAGGACGAATAAAAGGCTTTCATTGTTAGACTGCACAAAGTCAGGGTTTCAAAACAGACAAAGACTGATTGAAGGAGATCAGCTGGTTTCACAGAAAGGTGAACAGACACCAGCGCGCATATATCATCAACTAAATTATTCCAGCCATTCAAAAGCTGAAATGTAGCCACACTGGCATCAAGTACCATGAAACACGACCACTGTGCTGTTCTTCAGACTGAGGAGATTAATGATGCCACAGGTTCAGAAGACTACAGAGGATTTGGACAAAGGCTAAAATGAGTGTAACTGCCCGTGATCCTTACACAACTATTTGACTGTTTTCCTGTTTACTGTACTTTGAGAATGCCTAGATGTATAGATCAGCTCTCTCCTGTGAGTCTCAATGTGACGGCCTGTACAAACAAAGGTAAAAGGAGGTCTGGAGTGGCAGAAACAGCGACAGCTGTGTCACAGAAATCACTGTCAGCCAGAGCGAGCAGATGTGCTGGTTACAGCTGCATCATGGACCAAGAGGTCATGTGACCATGGTCCAGAGGTCTTCTTCTACGGGCAGAATCAGCTTTAAATGGACTGCAGCAAACTGTAAACACTTCTCTGACCAGGTGCATCAAACGTGACATCCTTCCTCATGAAGAGGAGGAGGAGCAGACCCTGCATCTCTGATGGGATGAAGGTCGTTAGTGTCTTTGGA